TTCTGGGGATGAATCTCAGGGGAGAGCCATCCTCTTAAATATTACAGAGCAGGGGTAAACTGCTGCTGGGACCGGTGCAGTCCCCTTATTGGTACACTTTTCCTTGGGGGAAAGTGTCAGGATATTCAGAGCATGCTAAATGTACATGTGCTGAATATCCTTTATTTCAGAAAATACACATAAGAGAGATAAACCTAATTAATAATCATACACACAAGAGAGGTAAATAGGATAATCATCTCTTGGATACACCCAGGAGATAATTATCCTTTTCAACTTGATTATAATTTTCATGGAAGAGATAAATTAATAAAGAGGTGAATCTTGATTAATTTACAGAATAATTATTAACATAAAAAATACATGTAAAAAGGGATAACACTACTTTATAATTATTAACTTAAAGATTAAATATAATAATAATTGTTATGTAACCCAAGGGGGTTACATTCTATTGTAGACACCTGGGCTAGTGTCTCAGTGTCTGACATTTGCCCCCACCAAAAGGGAAATTCCATCAGGAATTTTTTAATCTTTTGGTAGCTCTAAACCTTCTTAACAAGACTTGACAGTTATCTATCTTTTCAGATTCTAGCCACAAGTCTTGATCAGGTTGACAATCTTTAAATCTTACTAAGTACAACTTGCAGTCTTTACCATTTTTCCTGAAAATTTTTTCTTCCAAGATTTTTGCTGCAGTTTTTGGTACGGTCTCATCTGTCATGGGAGGAGCAATGACTTCATTAGATGACCGGTGTGGTAAGATTGATCAAACCCATAGACTTAGTTAAAAAACATTTTATTACACATAAATAGTGTTTAAGATGTTAGAGAAGAAGGGGGAAATTATAGAATAAAATGTATAATAATTACTGGGTTAAAACATAGCTAAAATAAAGCACAAATCAGGCCTAAAATACACAACTCCTTATGAATAATAATTATACAAATAGATTGTAAAAACACATCAAAGATACTACATCCATCTTAGACTGATAAATCAAGCTACTGATCAGAAAGTGCTTCACAGACTAGTTCTAGAAAATAGCTCTTATACTAATTAGTCTAAGATTACCATTCTCATAGTAACTAATCTAAGAATAGGCCTCATATAGTAGATTTACAACCTCTTGTATTAGAAAGGCACTTAGAGATTAATTCATATCAGATTAGGCCATCTCAGAGTAGTAAAAACCACTTTAGAAGTACCCTTCTCAGACAAACTTGTGTTCAGACCAAAAACGCATGTACTGCAGAAACATTTGTCTATAAATAGAGGCTCCTCTGGCCCATGTTTTCCTTTCTCCCTCCTCATGCTAGCTTAAGCCACAATAACAGTAGTATCAACACTAAGATAAATTTAGAAATAAGCCACACTCTTATTTTTCTTAGTGTAACTTTCCCGCAAGCTAGACAGGAGGGCAGTCTCACCCACACATCAATACTAATTCTACTATTCCATAGTCTATTAGCTATTCTATCCCCTCCAAGCTCTTTACTCACTTGCTGAGCAGTTCCACAAGTGGTGTCCCAACAGTGGCTATTTCCTCAGATAAATTTAGTCTTTAAAAAGAATACTACTCCCTTTGCTAGTCTTACTCAGAATACCTGAACCTTTCTCAAATCACGCTTTAGATTATTAAGAACCCTTATAACAGATAAGAAGAAAAATGTCCGAGTACACTCCTCTCATCAACATTGGAAACACTGCCTTTACCCAGCATCGAGAACCATCCGTAGCCTCTTCTGGAAGTTCCCTTATACATCTATTGGATACCAGATTAGATATGCCTCAACCTAGCCCTATCACGCCAGATAACCATCATAGGTCTCATCATTTGGTGGCAGAGTCCAACACCGATTTCCTCAAAAAAGAACCAGAGATCCCTAAATACGCAGGACCAACCTTTGGATGCAAATCTCCCATCCTCAGCTGCTCCAACCAACATACCCTTCAAAAAGCCAGACTTGAAATGTTACTACTGCTTCCAGGATACTCACAGTAGCAATAGATGTAGTCTATTTGCCTTTGATGAATCTCGGGGACTAGTAAAACGTGAAGGACGGGATTATCTTTTGCCAGACAACACCAAGATTGCATGGGATACGTGTCGAGCCATTAAAGACGAAGTGGATAAATTTGATCGTAACTCTAAGAAAACTACTGCGGCTGTGGTCACTTCCTCGTTTGGAGAACTGGAGGAATGTGAAGTTGAAGAACACACAGCGTATGATGTGGACTTAGGGAAGCAAACACGTTCGGAAAAAGAACCGGAAAAATATGGTAGTGGGAAGAAGGGAAGAGTTGAGAAGGACGCCGTAATGGATATTGATGCCGAGGATTTGATCAAGAAGGTAACGGCTCAAAAATCTGCTCAAGGACCTTTGAAAACAACCACTGTACCCGCTAATGTTAGATTTGAGGAACAAAAATCCAAGAAAGAAGAAAGACCGGCAAAGAAAACTCACCTGGAGAAAACCTTGGCGAAGGAATATCCAGGAATCGGAGAAAGAAACAGCAAAGCACATGTTGACAGAGGGAAAAATGACTCTAAGTTATGGAGAAATTTTTGCGATCTCAAATGGAGTCGTGGATGTTTTCAAGAAGAAGTTTTCGAACAGACAAGTACCCGTGGAAGAAAGCGAAAGTTCCAATCACGCGTCTCTGGAAAATAATGAAGCAGACGAACTCTCAGTAACGCACTATTCCTGCCCTCTAGGGTATATTAAACTTAGTACCAATGGAACCAACAGCAAAGCTTTATTGGATACTGGTTCAATGGTGAATTTAATGCCGGAACATATGGCACAGAACTTAGGTTTGGTCGTAACCAAGAAACCAATGAACTTGAAAGGAA